GAAATGTCGCTTCGCCAAGTGCAAGGCAGGGAGCCCGGCCCCGGGACAGAGCCCTCGCACGCACTGCTGGACGGCGCGGTGCCCCCCCACTTCGTGGTCCGGGGCCAGGCCCTGCAGGCTGCTGTGCCCCTAGCGCCTTGGCCCACAAGTCACTGGTGCTCCCAGATCTTGACACAACTGCTCTGTGTTTGTGCCAGCCGCGTTACTTGCCAGGGGTTCTTTGGGGGGCTGGTCCCTGCAACGCACCCTCTGGCGTGGACATGAGGGTTCAGACCCACAGGGAGCACAGCCCCGCCAGCTCCATCCCTCCCCAAGTCCAGGACTTTGACAGGAGGGGCCGCAAAGATAACGTCCTCCAAGAACAGCAGGGGTGGGGGAGTGTCCTTCCTCCTCCTTTCGAGGCGCTGCCTGGGGTATCGAACGGTTGGGTCCAGTAGCAGCCCGAGGCACCAGCTTGCATCACTCCCTACAGCTGATCTTCTCCTAAGCAAACTAGGGAAACGGGACCTAGAGCAGGGGAGGGCAAAAGGGCCTCCACGTGCTGGATCCGGCCTGCCGAGTGGATTGATCCGGCCCACGGAGGCCCTGCCGCTCCCCCGCCCGCAGGCCAATCAAGGCCTGGGGGCGGGGTGAAGTGCACGAAGTTTCCTCAGCCCTGCCAGGAGCCCGTGGCGCTTAGAAGTGCCACATGCTCCTCGGAGGGCGGGATTAGACTGAGCGCTCCCCCGCCCCCAAGCCCTGATTGGCCTGGGGGCAGAAGGGGAAGCATGTGAAGTCTCCTCCCACTGCCGGGGCATGGGTGCCTAGGGGACACCTGGGGGGAGGCAAAGGTGCTCCCCCATCCCCAGACCAATCATAGTCCGTGGGTGGGGAAGCAGGGAAGTATCCTGGCCCCGCCCCTTCCGCTTGAGGTCCCGCCCCTTCCAGGGTGGCCAGGGGCCACTTGAAAAATTTCTGAAGTGGCCCCCGGCAAAAAATGATTGTCCACCCCTGCCCTAGAGGAGGCTTCTGTAAAGTGGGTGCCCAACGGATTGGAAACCGGTCCCTGCACGTTCGCAGTCCAGCTGCAAGGGCAGATCGAGTGGGGCCCCCCACTGCCGAGCCTCCCAAATTCTGGCGTCCAGCCCCCTCCTTCCTCTGCATATGCGCCTCTTTCAGGGGGCAGTTCACACAGCACCTCAGCCCCCCCGCCGATCTGCCCTCCCAGGTCCACGTTTGCTTCTCCTGCAGCTCCTGGCTTCTTCCACCCCCTCCCAGACAGGGCGCTGCCCAGCACAGAGGCACCATCCAGCCCTTGTTGCTCACAGGAGGGGAGGGGGGAAGGGTTGGAGCTGTTGGGCTCTTTGGTTCCCTCTTCCCATCACCCCCGTCCTGTGAGAGCAGTGTCTGCTCCTGGAGAAAGGGGAGACTTCTGCCTGCCCCCGCAGCAACCCTGCCTAGATTCTCCTCCCCAGGAGACAGGGAGAGCTGCCAGTTCTGCTAGAGCAGGGACAGGCAAAATACAGCCTGGAACTGGAGCCTCGGGCAGGCTTCCTGCCTGCCGCGCACCCACCTGCTGCTCAAAGCAGCCAGCTGCGAGGGCCGGGCACGTCTCTGTGTGCCGTGTGCCCCCACTCTGCCTGCACTGCAAATACTACACTGGCGGCTCCCATTGGCCAGAAACAGCCCAACAGGAGGTGCGAGATTGTGCCGGGGGCAGGGCAGGGCACAAACCCTCCCTCCCAGGTGCACATGGCACAGAGACACACAGGGCGCCTGCAGCCAGCTGCTTTGAGCGGTGTGCGGGCAGGTGCTGGGCCACAGGACGGATCCGACAGTCTGGCAAGTTGGATTGCTGTATTTCACCCACCCTGCTCTAGAAGAATTGGCAGGAACTGGGAACATGGGGCCTGCACTTCAGAACCTCCGGGGGCTGTAACAACACTCGTGATGTCACCTTGAGAACATGCCTCCAGAGAGCTGGGCTTGTGGTCGTGACCCTCCTTTTGACTGTGCGTCGCCGCCTGTTGTTTAAAGATGTCTCGGGCGAAGACGTGGTCAAGTTAACGCTGGCGCTGAAGATAGCTCGGCAGGACCTCACAAAAGCCCAGGTGGAGCTGAACACCATGAGGGCAGATTACGGAGATGTTGTTCCCAGGAGAGACTACGAGTCGCAGGAGAAAAAATATATGGATCTGCTTGAGAAGGTGACCGGGGGCTGTCGTACTTGCTCTCACGCTGTCCCACGCAATCCCAGCCTGTGTCTTGGGGTGCAGGCGGAGATGTAAACTGTGCCAATCCAGAGCATGCTGAGACCGACCCTAGCTTGTCCCATTGCGCCCGGGTCCGGTCTGCAGTGGGGATATCACCCACCTCCCGGGGGTGCTTACCCTTAACCAGTGAGGGGCGGCGACCTGGCCTGGCCCCAGCAGCCCCCATTCATGGCAGGCTGCCAGCAGCAGCTCCCCATCCGCGCCACTCTGCAGGGGGCTGCTCCAAGCCTTGCTGGGCCCACCACACCACAGGCAGGGGGTCCCTGCAGCCCGGACAGGCCCCCCACCCACAGAACCCGTTAAGCAGTGAACCACTTCAACCAACATTGAACCAGTTAACTGCTTAAGCGGGATTTCACCTGACTTCCGGCCAGGTGATTGGGTGGGGCCAGGCTGGCTGAAAGCAGCACTCAGCCGGCAGCGGTCCATGGCTGCCTGGCGATAAGAACCCAGTTCCTGTATTTGCCAGTGAGATGAAATGGGTTCCTACCCCTCTGCAGCCCCAGGGTCGCTGTGCTGCAAGCTGACTGAGGGATGGTGTAGGTGGAGCTTGGTCCTGCCTTGAGGGCGGGGGGCTGGACTCGATGACCTCTTGAGGTCCCTTCCAGTCCTATTATTCTATGATTCTATGAGCCCCCAAGGTGGGGTGAGGACTGGAATGACCCGGGCTGCAGGTAGCCTGCTTGTTGGTTGTTTCCCTGCTTTTCAGAGCACATGGGTGAGCTCCTGGCTTGCAGTGCCCACTCCCTAGAGCAGCCCCAGTTCTCCCAGCAAACCCATGGATCAGTTCACAACCCCCCCGGGGTGTAGAGGAGAGAATGGGGGGCGGGGGTTTGGCTCCGAGTGTGAATTGCTGATGGACCAGAAGAAGGTTGCTGCTAGAGGTCCGGTGTGGGGGCGCCCGAAGTTGCTGCTTGAGGGCTGCCCGAAGTTGCGTTAAGGGCGAACGGCAAAAAAAGAGATATCGTGCACGTTTGCCCCTTCCCTCTGGTGGGTTAAGGGGGCCTGGCAGGTTTCTGATGCTTTTCGGCCTGCTAGTTCCATTAGGAACAACAGGCCTTACACATCTTTTTTTGCTGGAGCGAAGGCTCTTGGCCTTCATTTATAAGGAAAACGGTGGTGAACCTTTCACAAAGAGAACTTTTCTCCCAAGTGGTTATAAGGTGTTTTAGTTATAAACAGCCCAAACAGTCAGAAACAATGAGGGGATGAATGAAAGTCCCTTTCCCTCCCCGTCAGGGTGTGAGTTTCAGCCATAAGCCTGCTAGTACTTCCATCCTTCAGAAGGAATGACGGACAAACAGATTTCTCAGGTAACGAACAGATGCACGTCAAGCTCTCTTACACTGACTCAAGAGTGTGAGTACCCACCTCACAGCTGATGGTTCAGAAGTCAGGTACATACCCCCAGCTGGCTGTGAGTTCTATCCTTAGATTTCACCAGCCTATTTTCAAGAGTGAACTCGGGCACAGCCACCGCTGTCCCATGCAGTCCCTCAGATCTGTGCCCCACGTCAATTACACCGTAGATCTCATGGCATAGACAAGACGGGTAGCCTATTCCATAATCAACTAGATGCACAGTTAGTTTCCGGAAAAGGAAATAAGATTTATTACAAGGTTACAGCTGGTAACCACACACCCCAATGAACAACAATCTTACGTTTCTAAGGTAACAGAACAATAAGCGAGTTCTGTAGGTCCTTTAGGGCTAAGCAGCTGGGGAACTTTTGCTTATGTCTGGTAATCCTGGTTCCCGAGTCCAGGTAGCCTAAAGATACAGTTTCTCCATCTTAGGGCTTTTTATTCCCTTCCCCGCTTCTGCTTTGAGCAGCAAACTCAGCTGAGGGAGGAATTCACTTGCAAGACTCCTCTTCATGCAGTGGGAGGAGAGCATAAAAAGTCTTAGGTCTTCTTTCTCCTCCAAATGGGGAGGATGAGCCTTCCTTGTTGGGCAGGACGTAAGAAGGCCCGCTTGTCACGCTCCTTAGCGCTGTGACTCACCCCCAATGCAAGCGCTGCAGCGTTCCCGTATCGTACGGGATGCAGGTGTTATAAGGCGAGATGAATGCAGCAACTCCCAAGCATTCAGTACGGTGTAAACGCTACACTCACTTAGAATTCCAACAGCTAGTCTATCAATAGTAGCACCCAGGGGAGCCAAGGTGAGGTACATATCCAGCTCAGCTGGGGCCTGGAGACCTTGGCATGAGCTAGTGTCCGGTCTGCCACTGCCACACTGCCCCCAGAACCTTTTTCTTAAAGAGCCAAAGCCCAGCCAGGCCCCTATTTACTTCATTCAACCAGCCATTTACAGAAATTCTTTGCCATTCCTCTGCCCAGAGCTGCACTTATCATAGAATCATAGAACACTAGGAGTCATCGAATCCAGTCCCCTGCCCTCAAGGCAGGACCCAGCACTGTCTAGACCATCCCTGGCAGGTGTCTGTCCAACCTGCTCTGAAATATCTCCAGGGATGGAGACTCCACGACCTCCCCAGGCACCTGAGAGGGGACGTAGTAGCTCCCCATCAGCGCAGGAGCTTTCAGAGGTGACAAAGTGTATGACACTTGGTGGCCAGGCTGCGCCTCTGTTGTAAAGATGAGCAGCCACACTCCAGACCAGCGGTGGGGACCAGATCCACCGCCAAGGCTCCTGCACCTACCCTCCCTCCTACCCACACCCGTTTCCCAGCAGCCTCCTCCCCCACACAGAGCCCCTCATTTTTGACCCCACCCCAGAGCCTGGAGGGCCCACAAACTCTACTAGCTTGGGCCCCCAGCTCTGGGGTGTGAGGGAATGTGGGGAGGGTCTTCCTGCTTCGCAGACAGACGCCACGTCCGTGACTTTTTTTTTTGTTGCTTCTCATTGTGTGTGGCCCCCGACTGTTTTTCTGTGGGTCAGCGGCCCCTGACCCAAAACCTGTTCCCCGCCCCTGCTCTAGAAGGCTGAGGACTACCCTGCGCTCAGCCACCTCAGGTGTAAATGTCAGTCTGAAAAGGGACTGAATAACCGAGCAACATGACCTACAAGGAGACTGAGGGATTGGGGCTTGTTTAGTCTGCAGAAGAGTGAGGGGGGATTTGAGAGCAGCCTTCAATTTCCTGAAGGGGGTTCCAAAGAGGCTGGAGAGAGGCTGTTCTCAGTGGGGGCAGGTGGCAGAACGAGGAGCAATGGGCTCAAGTTGCAGTGGGGGAGGTCTAGGTTGGATATTAGGAAAAACGATTTCCCTAGGCGGGTGGGGAAGCGCTGGGCTGGGTTCCCTAGGGAGAGGTGGAATCTCCATCCCTAGAGGTGTTTAAGTCCCGGCTGGACAAAGTCCTGGCTGGGTTGATTGAGCCGGGTTGGTCCTGCCTTGGGCGGGGGCTGGACTCGATGACCCCTGAGGTCTCTTCCAGCTCTATGGCGTTCAGAGCCTCTCTCTGCCCGCTCTCCCCCCTGTTAGCTGGAGGTCCTGCAGAAGGACTTTGAGGCCCTCCAGAAGGAGTACAGCGTGCTCCTGGAGATCCACCGGGAGGCTGTGGAGGAGCGAGACCACTTCTTCAACGAACTCCAGGAAGTCCAGCACAGCTCCACGCCCCGGCCGGACTGGGCGAAATGTGCAGGTACCAGGCTCTCGGGGTGGGAGGCTTTGGACGTCCCTTCTCGGAGGGCTGAGGGGCGTTCCATCTGCTAACTTCCAGACGGGGTGGAAGCCCCCTTTCCTGCGGGTTCCATGGGGGAGGTGGGGCTGGCAGCTGGAGGGGCTCGCGGGCACCCGACTGCCGGACGTGCTCTCCTGCCTGCAGCTCAGTGTGTTTCTGCCTGGCAGAGGTGATTGCGGGGGGCCCCGAGCGGTGGAGCATCCTGCAGGAGGGGAAGAGCAGTGACCAGATGGTGGCCGTGCTTCTGGAGGAGATCGGCGCAGGCGTGCTGAAGGAGAAGGACACGTTCCCAGCGCTGGTAGGGCGCTTCCTTGGCGGCTTTGCCTTGTCACGAGGGCTCTAGGAGACAGAGCCAAGCGGGGCAGAGCCTTTCCCAGTCAGAATGCCCCGGCTGGACTATCGATACTCAGAGATCAGACTAATCGTTCGCTGGACGCCATCAGCCATGGACAACCAGTTGCCAGGCTGCTTGGAGAATCAATCTCCAGGTTGAGATTTGCCAGCAGCGATCGCAAGTGCCAAGTGCTGAGTCAGGAAATGCTGCCCAGGCGTCCAGGCGAGGGGTGTCTTCCCCAACTGCTTGTGCCCTGTGACAGCCACACTTGGACCGGGGTCCTCCCTTGTCCCCAGACTACAGGCGACAAGGGCCTGGTAGAAAGATCTTCCTGCTGTTGCCTCCCTAGCGAACAGGCAGCTTAGTTGTGAGCATTGTGGCCAGTCACATTGTACTGAGCAGTTGATCTGTCCCAGGTGGAGTCAGACGCCCTTTTGCCTGCCCTGCTCACAACCCGTCTCTTCCTCAGTTTTCCCCGGGAGCTTTAGTGGTTTTACCCTCTACTTCCCAGCGGGAGGATGTGGCCCCATTTTTGTTGTGCTAAGCCCGGGTCCCTCACCCTCTTTGTGGCTAAGGCCGAGCAGAACACGGCCCATGGTGAGCAATGCCCGGCGCTCTCCTCAGCCCACCTGTCAGAGGTCAGGGAAATAGCTCTCCCCAGTACATAGACACGGACGGGAGGGATACACAGCCTGTGTGCGTCACTCGCATGGCCTGTGTCCGCGGAACAGCACCGCCCTGGGAAACACGCACAGAAGTCGTGGCAGCGGCTGTGGGGGGGCAACGGGCTTGGGACCATTTGCAAGGGGCAGTCAGGAGAGGGGCCCTGGGCAGACTCCAGCTGACTCAGGTCAGAGACTCACAATCCCAGGGCTGGAAGAGACTTCAGGAGCCATCAAGTCCAGCCCACTGCCCAAGGCAGGACCAGCCCAACTAAATCAACCCGGCCAGGGCTTTGTCAAGCAGAGACTTAAACACCTCTAGGGATGGAGATTCCACCCCCGCCCTAGGGAACCCAGCCCAGCGCTTCCCCCCCTCCTAGGGAAATAGTTTGTCCTAACGTCCAACCTAGACCTCCCCCACTGCAACTTGAGCCCATTGCTCCTTGATCTGCCATCTGCCCCCACTGAGAACAGCCTCTCACCAGCCTCTTTGGAACCCCCTGCAGGGAGTTGCAGGCTGCTCTCAAATCCCCCCTCACTCTTCTCTCCCGCAGACTAAACAGACCGAAATCCCTCAGTCTCTCCTCGCAGGCCATGTGCTCCAGCCCCCTAAGCATTTTGGTCGCCCTCTGCTGGACCCTCCCCAATGCATCCACGTCCTTTCTGTAGTGGGGGGCCCAGAACTGGACACAACACTCCAGATGTGGCCTCCCCGGGTCCTTCACTGAGGGGAGAGGAAGCTGTCCCAGCTGGCTCCCACCTCGTGAGCCCACCCAGAGACACGGACCTTTTCCATGGCCCTCCAGGCTATGGGCGCAGTGTCCTGGCTCCCTGAGGTGCAGCCCTGTCTGTCTCTGGTGTCTCCAGGGCAAAGGGGACAAGGTCCCGGTGTACCTGAGGTACGAAGGGCAGGTGAAGAACAAGAAGCTGAACAAAAAGGACGTGGTGAACATCCTGAGGGAGATCTGGAAAGAGAAAGTTTCAGCCGATCAGCAGGTTCTGTCCTCTTCTACCCCTCCCTAAAGCCCACCTGACTCCTTGCTGTCCGCGGCTGTGACACTCCGGCTGGCCGGAAGGGGCTGGGAAGACAGGGCTGCAGGGAAGTCGGGGTTTGTGCCACTTTCTGACCCTGTCGACCGAGCATGCTGCAGGAGAAGGGTGTTTTGCTCTCCTCCAGCCCCCGTTGCCAGGGTCTCTGCCAGCTGCTAGCCTAGGGTGTGAGGGGGCTCCTGTAATCAGGACTTCAGCATGGTTGGGCGGTGCCAGGCACATGATCCTAGCTGATAGGAAACAGCGTGCAGCCTGCTAACGAAGCTGAGCACAGCATGACCTTAGGGCAGCTATGAGAGCCCGGGGCGCAGTGGGGAGTCAGGGAACTCTAGCGAGAGAGCGAGAACAGCGCTCTGCATGGTTCTCCAGGCCACTGGTCAGGCCCCTGCAGCTGTTTCTACACTGGGCGGGTTTGGCAACAAAAGTGCTGGCGACAGGCAAAAGTGGATTTGTCAGACTGGATTTTCTGCCTCCCACTGCCGACATTTCCTGGCCACCTTGCTAGCACCCTGTCCACAGACAGAGCAAAGCCTTGTGGGGAAACATCCCACAGGGCAGTGTGGTGGGAAGGCAGAACTGATCCCTGTGCTCCTTGGGATTTCCCCGTGGCTCTGGGGGCTCGATGTGCTGAGCAATATCCAAGCAGCACAGCCGCCAGGTTCCTAGCAGGGCACAACAGGAGCTGTCCAATGATTTGCTCCTTGTTCCCCAAAGGGAGCAGCTCTCTCAGCTGCCAGACACTTCCCGGAGTGTTGAAAGGGGAGGGGGCGCCTGTCTGCAGGGCAGCAGAGATCACAGAACACTGAGCAGAGCCAGCAGGGCAGGCAATGGGGGATGCTGGCGGAAGCCAGTTCTCTGGGCAAAACAAGCAGCAGAGTCCACCCTGGCTCTTTGTCCACAACAAAGGGAGGGGGAAAGACAAAAGTCTCTGGCAGAGCCGGAAGTTTTTTGTCACTAAAACTGGGTGTTTTCCCCGACAAGTCCCATTGCCGTGTAAACACTCTCGCTGTTTTGTTGCCAAAACACAGGTTCTAGCAACAGACCGTGCCAGTGTGGCCTACACCCTTGTCAGCAAGGCTGGGGGTGCTCTGCTCTTAGGGAAGTCCTGCCCATCTCTCCTGGGCCGGAAGGGCAGTGCCCAGAGGTGCTGCCAGAGTATGGGGTGTACAAAGGTGTGGCCCCAACCGGGCCCTCTGTACGGACCTTGGGAGGAGGAGATTTATACCCCTTCCCAACTGATGAGTGTCCATAGGCTAGCTCCTGTTTGGACAGGAAGTGAGGTCCCCCGGCTCTAGGGGGAAGCTGGAGGTACTCTGCTTCCTCCAGCCCAGAGGAGGGTGGCCTGGTCTTCTCTGGCGTTTGGAGCTGAGGAGCAGTTCTGAAGGGACCCCCTAGCCCGGTTTCTGGAGCAGCTGCCTCGTGTTTTGCAGAAAGGGAAGCAATCCAACCTCCCAGAGTTCTTCCTCAGCTACCTCCAGAAGTGCTACGGCGACGCTGCGGCCTTCGACTGGGCTTACACCATCCACGAGACCGTCAAGCTGTACCGGTCAAACGAAGCCATGAGCTTGTTCTACGACATCCTGAGCGGGAAGGTGAGTGGCCCAGGCCCCGTGTGCTCTCCTCCGCTCTCCTGAGTGTGTGAGCGAGGGGCGAGGGGGACCAGACCTGTGAGGAGCTGAGCAGCCCCCCAGCTCTCGCGGGGAGTGAGGGCGCTCAGCACACTGGAGACCGGGCACTTGTTAGAGGGCCCCTGTTCTTCCCGGAGCACAGCTCCCGCCACGCCCCTCGGTCACCTCCCGCCCTTCCCTCCAGAGCTCTGCCCCTGCCACGCCCCTCGGTCACCTCCCGCCCTTCCCTCCAGAGCTCTGCCCCTGCCACGCCCCTCGGTCACCTCCCGCCCTTCCCTCCAGAGCTCTGCCCCTGCCACGCCCCTCGGTCACCTCCCGCCCTTCCCTCCAGAGCTCTGCCCCTGCCACGCCCCTCGGTCACCTCCCGCCCTTCCCTCCAGAGCTCTGCCCCTGCCACGCCCCTCGGTCACCTCCCGCCCTTCCCTCCAGAGCTCTGCCCCTGCCACGCCCCTCGGTCACCTCCCGCCCTTCCCTCCAGAGCTCTGCCCCTGCCACGCCCCTCGGTCACCTCCCGCCCTTCCCTCCAGAGCTCTGCCCCTGCCACGCCCCTCGGTCACCTCCCGCCCTTCCCTCCAGAGCTCTGCCCCTGCCACGCCCCTCGGTCACCTCCCGCCCTTCCCTCCAGAGCTCTGCCCCTGCCACGCCCCTCGGTCACCTCCCGCCCTTCCCTCCAGAGCTCTGCCCCTGCCACGCCCCTCGGTCACCTCCCGCCCTTCCCTCCAGAGCTCTGCCCCTGCCACGCCCCTCGGTCACCTCCCGCCCTTCCCTCCAGAGCTCTGCCCCTGCCACGCCCCTCGGTCACCTCCCGCCCTTCCCTCCAGAGCTCTGCCCCTGCCACGCCCCTCGGTCACCTCCCGCCCTTCCCTCCAGAGCTCTGCCCCTGCCACGCCCCTCGGTCACCTCCCGCCCTTCCCTCCAGAGCTCTGCCCCTGCCACGCCCCTCGGTCACCTCCCGCCCTTCCCTCCAGAGCTCTGCCCCTGCCACGCCCCTCGGTCACCTCCCGCCCTTCCCTCCAGAGCTCTGCCCCTGCCACGCCCCTCGGTCACCTCCCGCCCTTCCCTCCAGAGCTCTGCCCCTGCCACGCCCCTCGGTCACCTCCCGCCCTTCCCTCCAGAGCTCTGCCCCTGCCACGCCCCTCGGTCACCTCCCGCCCTTCCCTCCAGAGCTCTGCCCCTGCCACGCCCCTCGGTCACCTCCCGCCCTTCCCTCCAGAGCACTGCTCCCGCCACGCCCCCCGGTCACCTCCCGCCCTTCCCTCCAGAGCACTGCTCCCGCCACGCCCCCCGGTCACCTCCCGCCCTTCCCTCCAGAGCACTGCTCCCGCCACCCCCCCCGGCCACCT